TTCAGCTTCCTGACTTTTCGGTAACCCCGGATGGCCAGGATGGCTCCCATGGTAAAGACTCCAATGCCCAAGGCTGCAAAGAGCCCCGCTCCTATATCTCCCCCATGGAAACCACAGCTGAAGCCGCTGTACCCTTTGCTCTGGTACAGCGCCTCCCTCTCCTTGCACACAGCAGAGCCATAGGCAGCAGAGAGGTAGTGGAAGAACCAGTACAAGGCTGGGATGTACGCCCCAGCAATGAGCACGTCCACCAGGCCTTCAATCACCAGCCACAGAGGACAGTGCCATGGGACCCGCAGGACACCCACGAAGATGAGGAGGCAGGAGAAGGCCATGAGGGCTCCACTGTAGGCCATGGATGCAGTGACCGTGGGCAGCTTGAGCTGGTAGAACTGCACATCCAGCTGCTGGGCTTTCTCCCCGTCGGCACCCTCAAAGCCACTGTAAGCCCCTCCGTACTGATAGTAGTAAACGCCCCCCAGGCTGGTGATACCCGTGTAGCCCCCTGTGGAGCTGTAAGAGACAGAGCAGCAGGCCAGGATCAGCAAGTTCAGCAGAACCTCCAGCATTTGGCAACAGGCTGCAAGAGAAGGGTGCATTACCACTGGAGAGAGGGAGGTTCGCACTTGGAGACTCTGCCACCTCAAGGCGCATACTCCCTGCAGAAGCTCTGCACTGGCTCTGCATGCACCCCCTTGGGCAGCCAAGGCTGCACAGGTGGCGTTAGGAGCTAGCAGGGAGTCTCGAAAAGTGGTGTCAGGAAGACTTTTGGTTGGAAGGAGTAACTCTCCAAAGAGCAAAGCAGCCTATCTGGAGAGGTCAGAAGGAGATGAGAGAAATCAGGCCAGTGAGAAAGAAAGACTTGTTATGCAGAAGGGCCAGAATGTTGCACATAAAAGACTAAAAAAACCCAAAACAAATGTTTTATATATGTCTCCCTCAAGTATGTGCTTGCCCTCCAGAGGCAAATGCATCACTGTTTTCTCTAGTTATAGGGAAATGTAAGTAAAAAGAAACACAGAAATGTGTAAGCCAGGTGTGGTGGTACACACCTGTAATCCCAACACTTAGGAGGCTGAGGTAGAAGGATCAAGAATTCCAGGCTAGCGAGACTCTGTCTCAAACAAAACCAGAACAAAAACAATGAAGAAGAAACAGAGGCTTCAAAGCACAATCCTCCCTAAGGGGAGGGGAGAGAAAGGCCTATAATCCAGCCAACAGTTCATTTTTTGTGGATTTTCCCACCCATTCATAATTTTCATTATTGTCTGCTTGGTTTTAGGTAAGAACAAACAACTACTATTGTGTAATCTACTTTTTCTTTTTTTGTGTCTGTGATATGGGGGATTGAACCCAGGGCCTCAAGATTACTAGGCAAGTTTCTACCACTTGAGTCATACCCCCAGCCCTTTTGTTTCATATTTTGTGGGTTTTGTTTTTTTTTTTTTTTTTGAGATAGGGACTCACTAACTATCCTGGCTGGACTCCAACTCTGAATCCCAGCCTCCATCACCCAAGTAACTTGGATTGCAGGCTTGTACCACCATGCCTAGCTTTATTTTATTATTTATTTATTTATTTAATTTTCTATTTTTATTTTATTGAGACAGGGTGTTGCTGTGTGGTTCACATGGCCTTGAACTCATGATTTTCCTGCCTCAGCCTTCCTTACTGCTGGGAGTATAGGTGTACACCACCATGCCCAGCTCTACATTTAATTTAAGTCATTCCAATGTAAGAGACATTTAGGTTTTTCCAATGGATTGCTACATGACAGAATTGGATTTTTTTGGGGGGTGTGTGTGCTGGGGGTAGAACCCATGGCTTCTACCAGAGCTCCATCCCCAGCCAGGGGACGTGGAGACAGACAATTGCATCCTTCAAATAAAGGCCCCGAGGTTCTGAGGCCTCAGCTGAACACAGTTGACACAGTTGAGCCCTCCCAGACCTTGAAGGGATGTGGTTCTGAGTGAGCCCCTCCCCCTCTCCCTCTCTCCTAAGAACCACGGTTCTCTTCAGGTCACTCCTCAGCCTTTAGCCGAGTCATCTGTTAATGAGTGAACACCCTTTGAGTCAGCAGTGGTTGAAACCATGACGTCATCTCAGTGTAGACAGGGGAAACACTAGGGTGTTAAGTATTAAAAGGTTTGAGAATACGAATTAGAGAAAGACCACACACAACTTTCCACCCTGAATGTGCTCAGGAATCACAAGCAAATGCCATCGACAGAGGGGCGACTGTCTTTCTTCTCTTGGCCAGGATGGTTGATGTTAATTATCAACTTGAGTGGACTGAGAAGCGCCTAGGAAGCAGGCACCGGTGCTCGTACCTGTAATCCTAGCTACTCAGGAGGCAGAGGTCAGGACAATTGCAGTTCAAAGCCAGCCCAGGCAAATAGATCCTCAAGGCCCTATCTTGAAAAAACCCATCACAAAAAAAGGGCTGGTGGAGTGGCTCAAGGTGTAGGTCCTGAGTTCAAACACAGTACCGCAGAAATGAATAAATAAATAAATAAATACTTTAGTAAAACATACTTGTGGGCATGTCTGTGAGGGTGTTTCTAGAGTGGATTAACTAAGAAGGGAGTTTTGCTCTGAATATAGGGGCATCATCCTATAGACTGAGGGCCCAAACAGAATGAAAGGAAGAAGCCTGCTAACTCTCTCTCGCTCTTACTCTCTCTTTCCTTCCTTCTCCCCCTTCCTCCCTCTCTCTCCCCTCTCTCACCAACATGACAGACTGCACTGGTAACTCCTCCAGCCTCAGCTGTCTGTTCAGGAAACTGTCCCTATGAAATTTAAACTCAAAACACTCTCAACAGCTACGCCTCAAGACTCTGAGCAAGAATCCAGCACTACTGACTGTAGCAATCACAACTATCCTGGGAGAAAACTGAACTTCTGTTTGTTTTGTTTTGTTGTGATGGTTGGGGGGGGTTGTGTCTCACTATGTTGTACAGACTGGGCTCAAATAATCCTCCTGTCAGCCTCTCAAGCAGTGTAGCTGGTACTACAGGTGTGCACCATCACACCCAGCCAAAAGTTAAGTGGTTAAAGATACTTTGCAGTTACAGCTAGCAGCTGAATACAGTCCACTTTGATTTGAGCACTAATGCAAAAGAGGACGAGAGAAGGAGAGGGGGAGGAGAAGCTTCGCTCAATGAAAATGAGGAACCAGGAAGTGAACCTTCTTGCACTTGTCATTCCTCCCTTGTCCCTCCAAATAATAAATGAGCACAACCTACACCCGCATAGCATTCCCCAGTGGCCTGATACATGCATGTGACATCTGAACTTGCTTTCACTCTATCTGATCTTTATACTCAGCCCCTAAAGACTTTAGTAACTGAGAACTGCGAAAGTGAATCTGGGGCCTCTTTCTGAGGGTCACCTCAGTGTCCCACTAAACTTTCTAGGGGTGAATCAGCATGGACCTTGGGTCTCCCCAGGAGCTAAAGAGGGCCACAGCTTCTGAAGTTTGCTGGGAGGAGCATGAGTGCACTGACAAGGAAAAGAAGTCACTAAGAATCTAGGTGGCTCCAACAACCCTCAAGTGACCTTTGTCCACACATGAACTTCCTGCTTGAGACAAGTTCTTGGGGTAGAACGGCTGTTTCTCAGCACAGTCCTCTCTTGTGTATTTCTATGGGTCTCTGCGCACCTTGAGATCTTTGTAAGTCCTCATTTGTTAGTTTTTAAGGGCTTTTTTCACTACCTTGACTTAGAAACCCAGCCTCTAGGCTCAAAGCCAAACAGCCAGAAAGGCTCAATCAAGGTATGATTTGGTCCAGGCCCCTGCCCTTTTCTCTGGGTAAATCAATCACAATATATGTGTATCTATATCTGTATCTGTAGGGGAAACCTGTTTACCAGCTTCTGGCTTGTTCATGTTATTTCTAGCAACAAGAAAAGAAGAAAGAAAGGTCAAGCTAGTAAACATTTGGGGCCTAAGTGTCAGGCTCTAAATTTCAACTCCTGCTCTTTCAGTTAACAGTTCTGTGACTTTGGATAACTTACTGTACCTCTCTGAGTCTCAGGACTTGAGAGAATTAAAGGCGATGAGGTTGTAGCAACATATGGAAAGTAGGGCGATGATCCAGCTACCTGTACTGCCTGGAGCTCTTTCATCAAAGCTCCCCATAATCCTATAATCGTGTACACCTTCGAAGTCACCGCAAGCCACACTGTCAGTTATGGATGCCATCTTTCTCACCTGTGACCTGGGACGATTGCTCCCTTTTGTCAAAGGCAGCTTAGGAAGACTTCCCACTAATCACATGTGACAGTCGGGCTCACCCAACTAACCAGATTTTCTTCATTGCTGGCAAGGCCAGGACCCATGCGAAGGTGAGAAGCCTGGAGAACCGTGCATGGAGGTGACACATAATATCACCTGGGTGTTTTTCCAGGCAGTCAGTTGATTTTTGGCTTTTGACTGTTTCTCATGAAATTGAAAATAGTGCACTTGGTATGTTAATAGGGTGATTGCAGTTTCGTGACATTTTTGTTTCTCTGTGTGTGTGAACTTGGTCTTAATGTAAAATTTATTTCTTACTATGTATCTCCAGCAATGAAGCTTAAAAGCCACTGGTCCTGTGTTTGGGCATCAGGTCACCAAGGTGACCATCTGCCCCTGTCCATGTGACGAGCTACAACCAGGCTGCCGGCTTGCTCTGGTGATTTCCCCTTTCTGCAAACTCAGCTCACTTTGCCAGGGGAGCCGGTTCACCCTGCTGCCACTGAGTTGCACCTGGAGTCAGAGCTGCAGGCTACTGTGTGGGGCAAATTTATGATGCGTGGAAAAGCTAGCAATTCTCTTCATGCCTTCCTATCTTCTTTTTAGAAAGCAAGAACCTCACACAGGTGTGGACATGAAAATGCTAGGAACCCAAAAGGGAAGTCTGATGAGTTTTTGCTTCACCAACACCCCCTCCCCCTCACACCTGCCCATTCCCAAATCACCTGCAACAGTTAACACCAATGGATTCACAAAGCCTCACCTCTCCCAGTGCACAGGTATCTGCATTTGTGGCACTCCAGGAGCCCTTCAGCCTCTGACTGGTAATATTCCTCTTCCTCTCGTCCAGGCCTGGGGTGCGAGGGCAGGTATCTCTCTGAAGTAGGCTCATATTTCCCTGAAGTGGGTTCACTAGAACCAAAAAGCACATTAGTATTGCACCTTCAATTCTACAGCTTCTTCAGCATTTGGTCTCAACTCTTTGTAATGGGCCCAAACACTGAAGGACGTACAGAACAGAAACAAACTCTGCCACAAGATTTCAGACTCCAGAAAAATCCTCTGATTTAGTAGTCCCACAAAGCATTTGAACATGGGACTCAACTCCACTAAGCAACCACACGACAGGCCCTGTAACTCCTACACTGAGCATCACCTGGATGCTCGTCTGTCTGCCTGCTGTCTAACCAGGAGGCTCTGAGCTGCTCAGTTCAACGCAGACCAGATTTCTTCAAGGCTAGTTTGTACTTACAAGACTGGTGCTCAGGCTGGCATTCTCTTTGGAAAGTGCCTGGTTAGCTTGGGCATGCGGAGCTACAGACAACCTGTGAGATCCTTCTACCATCCCTTCCTCTGTCAGCCCTGGAACTTTCTGTTTCCTCCCTCTTTATCTAGCACAGGCTGGGCTCCAGCCAAGATTCAACGGGAGGCTGTATTCTCATTGGTGGGCTCCAGGGATAGTTCGAGAATGTAGAATGTAGAAGTCACCATGTTTCTCTTAGGTTTGAAGTCCTTAAAGCTTTTAGTACCTGCCACACAGGAGATCCTTGCTCACCTTCCCACACCACAACCTCACACTCACAGACCCAGCCACAGTGAATTGCTCTGTGCCCCAAAAGATGAAGTGCTCTTCCAATTCTCTGGGTCACTATGGAAGCTGCTCCTCTGTTTGAAACACCTTTTGTAGCTACATGGGAGGCAGAGACGGGAGGATTGTGGTTGGAGGCCAAGATGGGCAAAAAAGCAGGAGATTCTATCTGAAAAACAAACTGAAAAGCCAAAAAAGGGCTCTCAAGAGGAAAAGCCCTGGCCTAGCAAGTGTGAGGCCCTGAGTTCAAACCCTAGTATCACCAAACAAGACAAAACACCTTTAATCTTCCTCCCGCAGTCTTTCCTCCTTCTTCTTCCTTCTCCAGACTCAGCTTGAGGTCACCTTCACTGGGAAGCCTGCTTGAGCCTAGAGAAGCCCAGATCATTTCTGTCCAAATTCAAGTTTCTCCTGTAGCAGCCGTGCTGTTAATTTGTTTGGGTTTCTTCCTGTCATTCTCCTTCTCTGAAAGGGGAGAGCTCCCTGGTCACCCTGCCCTGCAGCCATCCATTAAATAAAAGACAGAAATAAAGTGCCCTTTGATTTCAAATCTCCAACTAGCTGTGCGCAAAAGAAGTAAAAAGCAAAAATATTTCTCCACTCTCCTTGGGGGGTGGGGTGGAGAGGGTTGGGGGAACGGAGGCACTGGTTTATAAAGGAACCCTACAAATGTAGCTCTTGGTTTTCCTTATTTAATGTTTTGTGCAAGGTGGCTTTAGTCAGGGACACAATAGCTAGTGCCAAAGACCATATCTGGGTGTAACCAACCTTTGCCATGCCAGTTGGTTTCAGATAATGTAACATAACTCAAGATAGTTTTCCCGCTGTGTAGACACAGCTGGTAAAGACTGGGCTCAGCTTCCAAGTCACACAGAAGGGGCCAGGTGTCGGAAAGCGGTAGGACCAGTCCTTTTCTAGTTGGGGAGGGCAGGGCAATATCCCCTCTATTCAGTCCACAGTGTGGGCACATAATCTGGGGTTCGTAACCTTTGTGGAATTGGATGGAATGCTACCTCCCCAGGAAGGGTCGTAGGGACCAAGCCACCCCTTGTCCTCCCTCAGAGCTCAGTCTTCCAGAACGGCCCCAACACTCATGGGAAGTCTCTGTGTTCCACGACGCAGGAATGGCAGTTCGTTCATTCTGGAGGGTGGAGCCTCAGACAACCAGGGTTTGAAAGCTGCTGCCCAGAAAGACCCCACTGACAAAGGAGAAGGAACAAATCTAAGCCCATCAACTGCAGAGTTTTAGGTAGACTTAGTTCTTTAGTTAAAAGTGTAACTTCTCCCAGCTGGCTGCTTTTGCAGTGCGTATAGCTCTGGGGGGCCACACATTAAACTATTAAATCGTCTGGGCTGACTTTATTTGGCCCCAGACATGTGGGAACTCTGAAAGTCAGGGAGGGCTGATTTTGGAACATCCGATAAGGGTCTGAAGCCCTAAGGGGCAGGCTTGCGAGCACGTGGGTGAGCAGGGGGTGGGGCCTCACGCTGGCCCCACCCACTCAATCTCCTTCCCACGGTTCTCTTCACAGGCCTGGGGACCTCTTCTCTTTAACCGGTCCCTCGGGCCCTGCTACTTCGGCTGTGTTAATCGGGTCCAGGCTACAGGATTGGGGCACTTTCGAGAGTGCAAAGGGGAGAGACGGCATTTCTTTCTTTAAACCGGCTTCCTAGGACAAGTAGTGGGGCGGCAGAGCGGCGCAGGGTGGCTTTTGCCGAGGTCGCAGGGTCCCGCTCCCCCAGCAGGTGCACCCCCTCACCTTTCGGGTCCGCGGCGCCCGAAGCCCTCCTTCCTCTGGGGCGGCGGCTCCGGGGTTTCCCAAGGCGCAGGCCAGGGGGGCGGGGCTGCGTCCCAGGCCGGTCCCCGGGGTTCGTCCCGCGTCCGGCTCTGGCGGGGCTTTTCTCGGGCTCTTTGTTCACCTGCGCGGTGGCCCGAGTCTCTGTGTCGGTTCTGACGGGGGTCTCGGTCCCTCCTCCTGTCCCCGTCCCCTCGCCGGTCCCGGTCCCTCCGCACGTCCCCGTTTCTCTCCCTGCGCTGGTCCCCGGCTCTGTCCCGCGGTCGCTCGAGGTGGCGGTCTCGGTCCGGGCGGGGGCGCCGGTCCGGGTCTCGCTCTCTCGGCCGGGCCCGGGGCTCGCGAGGCCCCGACGTATCTTCCATGGCAGTGTTCCGTGTCCCCGCTCCGGAGCGGCCGGAGGGCAACAACCAACCGCAAGTTTCCCGGGCAGGTGGCCAAGCCCAGGGGCGGGGCAGGAGGGCGGGGGGGGGGGGAGGACGGCTCACCTGTGCGCATGCGCACTTGCGGTGCGGCGGGAGCTCACCTGGGCGCAGGTGTGTGTGTGTGTGTGTGTGTGTGTGTGTGTGTGAGTTGGGGTGAGGGCTGGGGTTCTTGCTGGGATAGTTAAATTTGCCCTCTGTCTTGTGAGGTTATCAATCTTCAAGGCTATGGAATAAAGGTGGAGCAGTCAGCTCAGCCTCCAAAGCTGTGCCAGCGGACATACCAGGAAGCCAGAACCAAGGAAAACAACATCGTTAAAATCGAACTCACTCAGGGCAATGGCCCGCCCTACTTTAAGAACAAAATTAGTAACTTTTCCAGATGACAAAGGGCAAATTCCATATGGTGAGGGAGAGCGCAAGGGTGAAATACCTTGTAGTAACCTTTGACTTATTAGCATGACAAAAATAACAACCAAAATCATACATGGTAACCAGACGTGTGTCTCATGAAGACACCATGATGAAGGAGAGCGCAGGTGCAACTGAGACTCCAACTCTACACATGATAGCATGGCTAAGACCAAGTCCCTACCCTCCTGGTAAGATGCCCTTCCTGTAAGAGGTCACATAACCCATGCACCTTTTCTTTTATTTGAGTCAGCCTGGGATTTCTGTCCCCCACGTGTTAAGAGCCTTGTTTCTGTGTTAGGGTGCCTGGCTGATTTTTCTGATAGAGAACTGGAGAACTCTGGAGTCAGTAACCTTGCTGCTCCAAACCTGGGGAAAACCAACCACCTGGTGTGTCCCTTCTGTTGTGAGATTCTCTCTTGGTGACTCTGAAATTTGGGAACCTGAGAAAGCCAACCCTGGCCACCTGCCGTGAATCAATTTTACACAGCACCTTGGGTTTACTTCTCCAGAGTGACCTGTCCACTTGCTCATATATCCGCCCAGCCATCCACCCATTCACGCATCACCTATCCACACACCCAGACTCTCATCCATTTCCCTCTCTTACATCTGTGTTATAGGGGCCTGAAGCCAGATCATCTATTGCAATAGTCCCAAATTTACAAAACAATTTTTTTTGGCAGTTTTTGGGTTTAAACTCAGGCATCACGCTTGCTGGGCAAGTGTTCTACCACTTGAGCCATGCCACAAAACATTTTTTTTAAAATAGAGAACCACATGGAATTGCCAGCCTTTTATTTTGCCAAGCAAAGACATTTAAAAACATAGAAAATTGGCACCTGCAAATTCTTCCCACACATGTGTGTGAGCACCTGCATTAGTGGGTGAACTCATGTGGTGCAAACATTCTAGCATGTGTGAGAAACAGGATCATAGGTAAGAAGATGCTGTCTAAAACTTAAAGGGAAGGGTAAGTTTCTTTATCAGTGGGGACTCAGTTATTCAATGAATTAGTTTTGAACTGTATTTTCAAAGTAGTAAGGTTGTGAGGCCTGTTTGAAGGCCCACTTGGTGGCTGTTTAGCTGAGGCCTGCCCTTCGAGGGACATGGAGAGGTGATCTCACCACAGTGCCTGGCCCTGAGCACATGCTCCAATCAGGCTAAGAGAGCTGCCTCTTGGGTGGTTCTTAAAAGGTTAATCCCTAGGTCCTGGCAAAAGGAAATCTCTTCCCTGGGCTTTAGGTGTAGGGCAGCCTTGGTATTTCATTTCCCACTGCATCCAGAAGTACAGTCCTAAGTACTTCCCATCCATGGAGGATGGGGTGTTGTGGGCAGTCAGAAGTCTTCCACATTTACACCAAGTATGAATGGTCTTAGGCTTATTTGTTCAATTTTTGCTCTGCTTTGATGCTGTCATGAACTGGCCCCCTGGTGTCTTCACCATTTCATTGGAGATTTCAGTACCATGCTCCATGCCATATCATCATCCTTATCACCCGGACTACGAAGCAGCTCATGACTCCGGACTCATTAACTCCAAAGGATCACTCCTCTCCTTTTCAGCCACTGTGCTGTTCATTATTTTCACATGGAACTTTTCATCTCTAAAAACTTTTATTTTTATTTATTATTATTATTTTGTGGTACTGGGGTTTGAACTCCAAGCCTTCACTGGGCAGGTGCTCTACCTCCTGAACATTTCCACCAGCCCTGTTTTGTGAAGGGTCTTTTTGAGATAGGGTTTCATGAACTATTTGCCCCAGCTGGCTTTGAACCCCAATCCTCCTGATCTCTACCTCCTGAGTAGCTAGGATTATAGGTGTGAGCCACTGGTGCCAGCATCTTTTAATTTTTTAAATACAGGAAAAGACAGACAAGGCACAGAAATGCAAGCTAGATTGTACACTTCCCTGTCTTTATTCCACTCACAGCAGTTCTTTGGCAATACTCAGACCCAGACTGAGCTAGGAGATCAGGGCCAGAGACTTAAGGACACCTCGGACCACTGGATCACACTATGCCTGAAGTCAATCAACCTCCAGCCTTCTCAGTTAGGTGAGCCTGATCACATGAAGAAAAACCTGGAAACAAATTGCACCAGTGAACTGATTCACAATTGAGGCAGGAAAATTGGCCTTTTTTTTTTTTAAAAAATCAGTATCAGTAAGTCTTTGGCGCTGAGGTCTAATAAATGGGAATTGGAAATGTAGCCTGTTTTAGTCCATCTGGACTGCTATAAAAAATCCTAAACCAGGGAGTTTATAAGCAATAGAAATTTATTCCTTCTAGTTCTGGAAGCTGGGAATTTCAAAATCAAAGTGCCAGCAGCAGACTTGATGTCATCATACTCTCTCTCTCTCATCTTGCCTTTTTGTTTTAATTGGCACATAGTAGTTGTAAAAATTCATGAGGTACAGTGCACATGTGCACAGTGTCTAGTGATCAAATCAGGACAATTAGCATTTCTGTCATTTCTTTGTGTTTGAAGCTTTTGAACTCCTCTCTTCTAGTTTTTCATAATATACATAGTAAGTGGTAAACTAGAGCCACCCTACTATGCTGTAGAACACTAGAATGTGTCCCCTTTCTAGTTGTATCCTGCTACCTCTACTTCCTGCATAGCTGGGACCATAGATGCATGGCACCACACCTGGCTTGTTGGTTGAGATGGGGTCTTCCTAACTTTTTGCCTAGGATTGCCTCAAACCATGATCCTCCTAATCTCTGCCTTCCAAGTAGCTGAGATTACAGGTGTGAACTACCATGCCCAACTCTGACAGTTCTGTTATTTGGCTATATCTCGTAATATAAGTGCCCATGCAGACAGGGACTTACTCTGTTCCATGCTATATCCTCAATACCTAGAACACAAATGGCTCACATTGTGGAGAGCAGATTATGAGAAGCCTGTGAGAACTGGACATAAGCAAGGTGAGATGCAGCTCAACTGTTTTTCCTAAGATTATCTGTAAGGTGGAGATAGGCACAGCCCTGGCCACGGAAGAGGGAAATGCAGAACAGCTGCTTCTAAGTTGTTTATATTCAGAGAAGCAGGAATGCAGGTTTCACCTGTTACAATGTCACGCCCCTTCACTGAGAACCACTGCTCCACCCTGTCTACTACTGGATGTAAAAGACTCACTGAAGGAGGATGCCAGGCTTTTGCTTTGGGGTTTTTGCTTTTGCTTTGGAGCTTTTTTGCTTAAGGCTTTTGTTTTTAGATGGGCCAGGCTTTTTGCTTTGGACTTTTGGCTTTTTGGTTTGGGAGGCTTTTGGAAGGGAAAAGAATGGCTGAAGGGGAATTGCTAAAGAGGAGTTGATAAAAAGTCTGCACTGAGAACTTTATACATAGGCTTTAGAAAAGCTAAGTTAAAGGAAAGCTAAAGAGAACAGTGCAAGTCTAAGGACTGGGACTTTAGCACTGAGGCTTTAAGAAAGCTAAAGAAACTGTGCAAGTCTGGGGACAAAGACTGAGACATTATGCTAAAGAACAGCTAAGAGAAAACATGGGACAGAGTGAATCTAAGAAAAGAGGTTTTAAAGAAGACTTTATTTAGGGCTCCTATGAGTTCATTTATTTGCTTCTGTGTCTTCTTGTATTCTTTATTTTTTGTGTCTTGAAATTCCTTGAGTGCCTCTTATATGTTTTGGTTAAACATATCTAGTAGTCTCCATGAAATTCTCATTGATTACTTGCAGGATTTCTTCTGTGAGACTGTTCTTGTGGGCATCATTTATCTTTTATCTAGGCATCGTTTATCTTTGTTTTGTTGGAGTCCAGAACTGGGTATCTGTTTTCTTCATTTCCCTCTGAATCCTGTATTAAATTATTTTTGAGGGCAGAAGGGTTTCCACCCCTTTTTTGTCTTCCCTTCGCTCCACTTGGTACTGTGCAACTATGTTCTTGATAGGCTAGTTGGTGGTTTCAGTCACCTGTTTTCTTTTCCTTAGTTTAATTTTGTTTTGTGGCTATATTGGGTTTGTAGCTAAGTGTGTGTGTGCTATTTCTGTCCCTGGTCTGGGTGTAATTTAGTATCAACTAATCACAATAGTAAAACTAACAACAACAATAAAACCCCAAAGAAATCAATGTGGGGAGATGAACAAACAAACACAAACAAACAAGAAACAGAACAAACAAACAAACAAACAAACAAATTCCAGGTTCTGGAACAATAGAATTTCAGTCTTAGTTTAAGTTCTGGTGTTACTCCTCCAGCATCCAGTTCTGGTGTTGGTATTTAAGCAGAAGCTCTGTTGTAGTCTCGCCAGGCAGTTGGGTAGTGTTTGGTTTTTTTTCCTGTCTTTCAGAGGCAGCTGCTTGGTCATCTCCTCCCTCAGTGGGGTGTGACAGTTTAAGTTTGTATGTTGTTCTCAGGTTCCGGAATCAGCTCTGTAGCCGTCCAGCTCTCCTGCTTTGGAGTTGGGTTTTCACTGTGCTTGATTACTGGGGCCTTGTTTGTTTGCCTCACCCCCTTTCTCTGGGGCAAGGTCAGTGATCCATCAGCCAGCCCCCTGCTGTCTGTGTG